CGGGGCAGACAAGAGGGGTGCAAAAGCTGAAGTGGAAGGAGGGTCTGTGGCTATGACACTATTGTGTTCGGAAGTGGGGGGATATATTTCATTCTTCGTCAAACCAACGATAACTTCGGGAGTGCACGATGTCGAATCTGAAGTCGTATGTCGATGGCTTTCGATGCTGCACAAAGGATACGAGGATGGTGACATAAGAATTGGGTTTTCGTCTGCAGTGGAAGCGGAGAATGCAGTCGGGGCGGAGGTATCCATTCCTTGGTGTAGAGCGATGTAAGCATGGCGAATATGTCTGAGGATAACTATGGCAACTGATTGGATGCGATCATCCTCGGAATTCTGTGCCATTTGGACAACTTCATTCCACAGTGAGCAGAAGTCGTGTTGAAGTCTCGGGACAGTATCGCGTACGTTAAATACGGAAACTGATTTAAGTGGCATGAAGCGCCAGCCCGCGCCAATGGTCCAACCGTAGTAAGAATAACAACGAATCATGCGCCTGGAAATGTCGATTAAGCTGGCAAGGAGTATGCTATCTCCATGCCCACTGTAGCTCTGGAGAACAGCTTTCGAGATGTCGAATTGTTCAGTGGCGAGTTCGAACCAGTGATCTTCCTGTTCTTTTGCGCGTGCTATGATCACCGAGACGATGCATCGAGCATAATAAGCAGTGAATGGAGTGTTGTAATTAACCGTCTGAAGAAAGTGCCCGAATTCAACGGAACTCAGGAGACCATCCCACTCTCTGTAGAGAACGGGTTCGAGGACCGCCCAATTGATAGGAAGCGATGCCACATTCATTGCCCTCTTGCAGGTGATGACGCGCCGTTCTTTGACTGTTCCGGAGACGAGATGAGACGTCAGCGTACGGTGCATGAGCCCGATCAGAGCCTGTGACATGGCCTCGCCGTTCGATGAACTGAACGCTCTCAGTGGATCTGGGATAAGCAATGAGTTGCAAAACCCAGGGATGCTCCCAAAGAATTGTTCTAGTTCGTGATCCTCATCCAACGACTCCAGTGTCCATGTTAAAGCCCGACCGTCGATCTCCGATGACAGCTTTTGGGCAGATTCTTCAGCTGCCTTCCCTCTACCTTGTAAACACCATCTGCGATAACTGTCCCTCAAGTCACCAAAGCGATCCCAGGTTGCATAGGTAAAGCCATCATGAGCTGCGAACCACCTGAGAATTTGGAAGGTAACAAGTAGCGTGCCAGCATAAAGGAACCAAGCCGACTCCGAGAGTGGTGCGTAATATGGGCTATCATGCCGAAAAATTGGCATCAGCGTGACACATATGTATAAACCTGTGCATATCCCAACCCAGCACATCACAATTTTGAAAACCGTGTGATTCACATTGAACAAGAAAATGACAAGGCCTGCAAAGAAGAGGAAAAGGGAAAGGTGTAGCAGTGTGGGCAACGCTTCAACCGCCCAAGGCAGGTGTAACTTGTCGACGCCTTCTGCAAAGAATGCACGAATACGAGCTCGTTTGTGTGGACTGTAACGTGGCTGGGTGACCTTCACATATTGACGTGCCCACTGCTGTAATAACGTGGCAAGCATGGCACAAGTAAGACTGATGGCCAAGCTCAGGAACCAGAGTGAATTGACCCAGATGGCAGATATCGGTGGAGAAAATTGAGATGGATCGGGTAGTGTAGAAGGGATGGAAACATGAGAGCCGTTAGCGTTAGCGAGGAGCTGGTAAATGTTTGCAAGATAGAAAGCAGAGGTGTCTTGGGAGTTTTGTCTGAGATCTTGGATGGATACGGCGATTAATGCGGCAACAGCAGCGGAAAATAGACCAGTCTACAATATTTCAATTGACATGAGAAATAAAAGGAGGGATTGGGGGGGGGGGGAGGGTGATAAGGAAACGCACGAAGACCAGGATGCCGTCAGCGTCCGCTTTCCAGCTCTCAGCCATCTTCTTGTCTTCTTCCCCCGCCATCTCCACGTACATGTTAAAGAGTGGCCCTGACCCATCCACAAAGCTTGATCCGCCCCGCAATGCCTGATCTTGAGCCGACGGAGGTGGAAAACTGTGGTCATTATGGACACCTGTATATAGACGTCATTTGAATGTCGAGAGATTCTGTTGAAGCACAGATAAAATACCAGTGCCAATCCCCTCCTCGAGTACGTCTCCGATGTTGATAGCGCTATGTGGTTGAGACATTGAATACGGGACGGACGTGGGTATGGTGCACGCGGATGAGGTCTAGGAACCACCTGCCAACCTGCCCAGTATTCAATATCACGTGCCTGTCTCAACATTCTTTGCTGTATCATTACGCTTATCTCCACCACATGGATATATACAAGACCGACGCCGAGTAAATAAAGCATGAACCCATTCACAACTTAGACACATTCTCTTTCTTTCTTATAACCAGGGCCGGGGGGGGGGGCCTCTCATCTATAAATCCAATTTCTATTAGACACGAGAGAACTCCTCGAGCGTCTGCGCGAAAATCTTGACGCCCCGGCGAATGGTCTCCATCTACGGAAAGAGTATGCTATGTTGAGAAACAGCGAAAGAAAGAAAGAAAACCCGTGTGTGTGGACGTACGTCTGATGGGGTATAGCTCAACCTCAAATGTCCAATCCGACGATCCGAAGACGACGACGATGTAGCGAGAAGCTCCTCGGGGGAGAAGAACCAACCGGGAGCGGTGAGTAAGCCTGAGTCGGCGAGACGAGCCCAGAACTGACGTTCGGGGGTGAGTACCGTCCCGTCTTCCTCGTCCGTCTTGTCCGGAATATCTCCGAAATAGACTGTCACCCAAACGAACATGCCCGATGTGGGTGGTATGAAAGAGAGTAAGGGCCGTCCACTGCCACCACTTCTTCCCCATCTCGTCCTTGTGATTTCTCTCCCACAAGCGCACGGGCGCGACTGATGCTGCCGCTGCTGATGGTTCCGCGTGCATATGCGTATAGTACGGCTCTTTTGTCGTCGTGGTCACCGGTCGTTGGAGACGGTATCAAGTCAAACTCGTCGGCAAGACAATCGACGAAGTAGTCGCGGCGGAGCTTGTACTGCGTACGCAAGCCACGCAACCATCGAATATATCCGTCAAAGGTCCACTGCTCAAGCAATGCCATAACGAGCGCTTGGCCTAACCCACACGGACTCTGCGTCGACGTTTCGCCGATGCGCTCCAGTCGCTCCGCAAAGAGTGGGCTGCAGGTGAACCAGCCGAGTCTCACGCCGGGCGCGATGGTCTGTATGCAAGGCCAGCCATTTAGTGATGAGGGAAAACGGGAGGGGGAAGAAAGTGAGAGTAGAATTCAACGCACCTTGGAGAAAGTGTCGATTCGAATGACCCGTCCCTCTGTATCTACTTTGAGGAAGCTAGGGACGAGACTTGAGATGAAGTGTGCAACATCGTTGTCGTTGTCGCCACCTGCGGATTCTAGTTTGCGCTGGGACTTTGGCACAAACTCGCCAACTTGAAGGAAAAAGTACGGATCATCCTCCGCGATGATGATATCTTAAGTCCTCGGCTCAGAACGAGAAAGCACCTCTGGATCCAAACCCATAAACGAAGAGACGTACCATATTCGACGCAAATGGCGTAAATCGCCTTTTTGCGTTCAAGGCCCATAGTCTAACGTCATTAGTCAGATCAGATCAGGATACCAGAGATTTGAAATGCGATAACGCACTACGCCAACCGGATTCTGTCCCACAGGAACTGTGTAGAGCACCCGCGGCCTGATAACAATAAATTATTACTCAGGCGCCGAAAAGCCGTCCCCGTTTCGCACGCACCTCGGGCCATCCTTCTCAGCGTTCCACCCAGAAAGAATAGCTCTGAGAACGTCGGTGCGTATACCCTGACCGTCCATGGGTATGCTTTTCATACGCACTTCTAAAGGGCGTGTATTTGATATGGCTGAGGGGTATGCCCACTCTTCGACGAGAAGTGTATCTCCTGGGTTGAGCAACAACCTGGCTATACGGCTCCACCTGTCCACCCCGCGGGTGGGCGCACGCCTCTGGTCAGCAAAAGAAAAAGAAAAGTGTGCACTTGTGCGTGTGTGCGCGCGTGCAAGTGAAGCCGTACCCGTCTGTGTTGCCCGTGTGAACGAGCGTGGTCCAGTCATTGTAAACGGGTGCATATATGCGCTCCGTAAATTCGCGAGTGAATGCTTGGATACGTGCGAGGCCTGTCGCGGGACCGTATTGAAGCGCCGTGGCGAGGTTGAGCCCACCATCCCCTTGGCGCGGGGAGCGAGGGACCCCTACATGCGTCGTGCTATCCTTGCCAGAGCCAAACAAGCGCCAAAACCAGCTTAACGGGAACGAAGAGGAGGATGAAGACGAGGCGCGTGACGCGTTGAGAGGGAACGCGTCGGCAGGGAGGATGTCGGCCGAGATGGAGGTGAAGGGAAAGTACTCTGGGCTCGGTAAGCCTGTGTTTCGTCGGTCGGCCGGTCCGTCCGTGGGATAGGATAGGAAAGTTTTGTTCGTATGAACAGAGACAGAGATTAAAAGGAGGGAGCGCACCACCAGCAAACGATATCAAGTCCCTGCCATAGTATTTCTGGAGACCTTTGAGTGGTGAGACAGCATACCTGCGTGCAAAGTCCGAGACGTGGTGGGAGTGGTCGAGGGCGTTCATGCGCTTCTCAGAGGGGGATAAGGACATGATGATGGGGGTAGATGGTCAAGATACGTCCTATCAAAACACGTGGGGGGACGAGATCTGGGCGCATATAAGCTCATGTCCATGGGTAATGAATACACCCGCAAAAGGAGCGGAAGCGTCGGGTGCGATACCACAGGCACATCTGGCGCCAGGATCGCATCACTCAATGGCTCGACTTTGCGTAAGAGCGGCGTAAAATAAGACAAGACCCGACTTGATGAGAAAGCGGGTCAAAAGGATGATAGAAATTCACGTAAAATGCAGAGTCAGAAAATCAAAGTCAGAATCAGAGTTATAGTCAGAGTGAGGTGAGGGCGCGATGACGAGGAAAAAAGTTACCCCCGCCGGGACTCGAACCCGGAGCCTCCAGATGCCCATCGTGTATAGAAGTCTGACGTCATGACCATTAGACAACGAGGGCTACCTTTTACAAGTTGAGATTGCATTACACGACCATTCGGAGGAAATTTCACACACAATTTAGTAATCAGATCAGAAATCTAATCATCAAATCTAATTAAATCTAATCTGATTAAGTCACCTTTAAAGTTACTTTCCTTGAGTGGGTGAACCCTCCAAACAGTTCTACAAAACGATAGCATCAGCGATGCCAGCTATACAGACAGAGACAGAGACAGGCACAGGTACAGGCACACAGCCAGAGGCAAAGGCAGAGGCAGAAACGACGACGATGACGACGCCCGCAACAGCTCCAGCGCCTAAAGGTATCCTTCTTAAAGCAGACACAATCGCTGAACCCTTCCTCGCCGAAGTCAAAACGAGCCTAGCATCCCTGACACCGACGCGAGCGCCCCCCAAAATCGTCGGCATCCTCGCTACCGCGAGCACGCCCAGCCGGTCTTATGCCGAGTTCACCCGCAAACAATGCGCCGCGTTGGGTATCGCCTTTGAGTTGCGCGAGTTGGGCTCCGCGCTTGGCGACGGTAATGGTAACCTAAATGGCAATAGTGACGGAGTGGGCGTCGAAGAGGCCATCATAGAGGCCAACGCGGACGATACGGTCGATGGGATCATGGTGCGTCGTCCGATTCCCCCGTTATTGTAACTTTGCCTCGTCCTCTCAACCTCATCCTCATCAATGCTTTCCCCCCCCCAGGTGTATTACCCTATTTTCGGAAAGGAGCAGGATCATTATCTACAACAAATCGTCTCACCGTTCAAAGATGTCGAAGGGCTCAACTATAAATTCCACTTCAACCTCTATCACAAGTGAGTCTTTTCCCCCCTCCGGCTCTTTCTCAACCTGTTCACTTAATTAACCAAAAAAAAAGCATCCGATACCTCGAACCCAAGTCTTTGTTAGCGTCATCACCCTCTCTGGCCCACACTCCGGCCCCACTCAAAGATGATGTACCACCACCGGGAACGGTCAAGTCGATCTTACCTTGCACCCCACTTGGCGTCGTGAAAGCCCTCGAGCGTGTGGGCGTATACAATGCGCTCTTACCCTACGGAGACCGCGCCTACGGCCGAATCATCACCGTCATCAACCGGTGAGTCGTTTTGTTTTCGTTGCTGCGTTTTTTTTTTCGAGTTTTCTATCTCATCCCTCCCGCGCCTAATGCCAGATCGGAGGTAGTCGGTCGCCCGCTCGCGGCACTCCTGGCCAATGATGGCGCACGCGTCTTTTCCGTAGACATAGACTCCATCCAAGAATATACCAAACGACCAAGCGGCGGCGGCGGCGGCGGTGGTGGTGGTGGAATCGCGCGGCAACGAAGGGCGTATCACCCACATCACGTCGTGAGACCGGCACCTCCCGAATTCGATCTCGCCCGATGTCTCGCCCTCTCAGATGTGGTCGTCTCCGCCGTTCCGAGCGCGACGTATAAGGTTCCCACGACGGCGTTGAAGGACGGGTGCGTTTGCGTGAACGTGGCGGCGGATAAGAACTTCGAAGTCGACGTTCGGGAAAAGGTCCGTCCGCCCTACTTCCCTCCCCTGTATCTGAGGCTCTCAACGTGTGTGCGTCCTTTCGTAGGCGTCGTTGTATATTCCTGCTGTGGGAAAGGTGACGATTCTCATGCTATTGCGGAATTTGTGAGCGTATCGCTTTTGCCACAGATCATTTCTGTTTCACTTATATCCTACCCAAAGATTGCGACTGCTGCAATACCAAGATCTGCTCAAAGCGTCGTCATAAAAAAATCCTAATCGGATTAAAAAGCAAGCCAGCCAACTTGTCTGTTGTGGGTGAAGGGTGGTACCGTTCAAGAGAGGACTACGTGCATAGAAAGAAACAAAAGCTGGTACAAGTGGAAGAGGACGACAAAAAAGAAAAGGGAAAGCTAATGTATTACGTATCTTTCAAAAAAAGTGCGGGAGAATTAAAAAAGCCAACTTGAGGGGGGGATTGATTTTTTGAATGCTTGCTTGTGAGACATGCGATGCGACAATTTCAACTTTCCACTTCCTTACGTAATCCAGCATCCCCTTCATTCAAATTGTGCTTCTGTTAAATGGAGTTCAGGCGGCGGACGGAAGTAATCCGGTGGCGTGCTGGTGCCAGAAATGTTGCTCATCGGCGTTGCGATGCCCGAAGGGTCATCCGGAAGGATACGTAAACGCTGTCTATGAGCCTGGGTGAAGGGTGCAGAGGAAGACTGTGTCAGGGAAGGCAATCAGATAAGGAAAGAAAGACACGCAACGATGGGAAGCTTGGGCACTAGGGTAAAGATGAGGGCAGACAAGTTGACAGCGAACAGCCATGGGTTATAATTCGTGTAATGGGTGGAGAGCAAGAAACTATGTTTCGCGGAACGGGTGTTAATTTATGTGTGTGTGAGGGTGAATGAAGACGTACAGGCCAACGGGGACAGAGAAGAGCCACTTTCGAGAAGGGGTGTTCTGCGCACCGCCGTCTATCTGTTCCCAAAGAGTGAGATCATCATATGCGCCACCATGCAACTCGCTGCCGAACGGAATGCCGGTAACCCAATGAAACATAAGGTATGAGCACTAATGAGGGTGGAAGAGGTCAGAGGGATGGATGATGTGTATTTGTGGAAACGCACAGCGAGATAGGACAGATTGACGGCCGTCCAGGATATGTTTTGCGTCACTCCAGGAATGGCGTCGATGATGACTTTGCCTGTTGCGATGAGAACGACATGGATCATCCAAGCACCTTTACAACACGAAGATTAAAGAAAGAAAGGAAAAGTTATAAGTTATAAGCCCAAACCTTTGCGGTTGACCCACTCAGCATTGATGTTTGCGTAGGCGGCTTGGTCTAGCGCTTCTTCGTTTGAACTGTCTACGTGTTCGACTTTGAGAAAGCTGCTGCTACGAGTTCGTTTGTGAGATACGTTGCTGTCTGGATGTAAAGTAAGGCCAGGAAGTTTGATGTTAGGTGGGTTGAGACCGCTCATGGCGGTAGAGCGAGGACGAGGGTGAGGGCGAGGACAACAAGTTCAAGTCACTTGCTCGGTCGCTCGGTCGCGCTGAGATTAAAGTCTCGTGCCAAGTGTGCCAAGTGCTGTGCTGTGCTGTCCTCCCTCCCTCTCTCCCTACCCCTGCTCCTGCCCCTGCTCCTGCTCCTGCCCTCGTTCCTTCGTTCCCCTTTACTAAATGTTACTTCATTGGTCTACTCTAGAACCCGCAGGTCCTTCAAATCTTGCCGCTTTAAGGTTCTCTTCACCAGTTCGCGTTCGTCTTTTACGAATATTTCCAAAGGACGCCTTACCCTTCGCAGAGCAACCTCAGATCGTCTCGTGAGTCCTCTTTCTCTCTTCTCACCATCCCTCGTGGGATTGTCAAAGCTATGTCACCTTGAGAGGTCGTCATGCTTTTTAAAAATCTTCTATTCACGCTCACTAACAATCACATCGGGGGTGGTTTATTAACGATGAAAGGGCGACAGAGCCAGAGGCCTTCCTCCTTGACGTTTTCTTCAATGCACATCCCATTATTAGCGACCCGAAACAAAAACAGAAGGCTACCAATGTCCTTATACCGACATCCATAGCATACGCTGGTGGTTATGCCGAATTTCCTGTAGATATGGGGGCCGAGGTCTGCTTCAAGTATCCCTCTCCCCCTTCCACCGTATTTCTCATCCGGTCACAACTACCTTTAGTTTGCATCTCGTCTCATGATAGTCAAGGGTAACTTCACCAAAATCTCCATGGCTATATATGGCGACGTTGCCTCCGAGCTGCCCTCTGCGCCCTCATCATATTTTCCCAACGTACTGCCATCCCTCGACCTGGCACCTTTATCTCCTGCACTCGATCCCGCAAACTTGGATGATCCAACAATCTTAACACGCAACCTCCTCGCCCTCATTCCTGATGCGCCACCTCTCCCCCTACTTATCCGTCTCATGTTCTGTCTCAAGCCGACCAACGACGACTGGGATCTCCCCGAGTTCCCATATCTTCACTCAGATCTTGACGAGGACCCCATCGACTTTGACCTCGATTACGCTTATCAGCTGACGAGTCAGCCAGTTGCAGATGACGTCCCGCTTGAGGTTTTGCAGCGTTTCGCCGACAGGGTCGCAGACGCAATTGGTCCCAAGGTACTCTCCCTTGCTTCCAACATACCCTCATGGATTCTCTTGCTTATACGCGCGTCATACAGAGTGAGAATCAATCTTACTTGGTGGCTGGAATCCTCTCCCGCGTCGCTTGCCAACACCGCGAGCTCTCGCGGCTCCTGATTGTATGACTCATTTTGCCATCTCACTACATACCACTCATTTACCCAAACCCTCAAGGACCGTATCGACATCCAAGCAGTATTTGACACTTCCTTCATGGATGAAGACACGCTCGACCATTTGCTTATCGCAGCTGCGAACCCAGACATCGCAAAGGAGTTCGTTGTAGCGAATCTCCCAAAAGAACTTGAAACCCTCTTACGGAGCCCAGGGCTAGAGCCTTATGTCAAGCGAGCAGCACAGCGCGTGATTAATCGTCTGCGTGGCTGGGAAGAGCTCTCTGCTGCGATTTGGAACCCTCAAAGATCCTTTACGCTAGCGAGAGAGGTGTTGCGCGACCTCGGTAGCGATGAACCATCCTTCGGCGTCGCTCTGCATGCCCTCGTCACCCACCCCGATCTTGCTGCGCATATCGTTGAGGAGGAGGGTCTCGTTGAGCTCCGAGCGTGGGTTGGCGTCGCGTGCGTGCTCGCGGCCTATGCGTGGGCGGATAGCGTGCCAAATGAACTATGCCGCTCACGTGCCTTTGCTATCATGCGTGTGTGGCAGGGCGTACCGCATTACCGTGAGGTGCGCACGTTTCACCGTTGACCCATTCTGATCCCTGTCTGACGAGAACGCTGTGGGACCTGTTTTTTTTTGGATATGCAAGACTCTGAATCGCCTCCTCCTCTTGCGGCAGATGATTTTCCGCCTCGAATGCATGATGGATGATGACACGCCGACGCGCTCCGGTA